ATCTTTGTGAAAAATGAAACTGTAACTCGTGGAGCATGCTGAACATTGCAAACTAACAGAACAGAGGGAGCATCAAGTAGGGGATTTTTTACCATGATAACAGAATTAAAGTGAAAGTAGAAAGTGAAAGTCACCGGTAAGTTAAGCCTGTAGGCATCCACAGGCTCATGGAAAGGCCAGGCGAAGTGATGCCTCCACAGAGACTTCATCAGGGTCCTCTGGAGAAACTGCAGCTGGTTGGTCATGCGGCCAGGCCGGCTGGGATCCTTCACCGGGGGCTGTGGTGGGACAGGAGGCCCCTGTGGCATCGTGTGCGGCAGAGACGGGCTCTCAAAATCCTCGTACAGCAAGGAGGGTTTGCGAATGCGTTTGCCAGAACTGGTGTGTTGGTCCATCCCGCCACTTGACAACCCGACCAGAGAGCTGGAGGCGAGGATGAGAAAGAGAATGAAACAACAAACAGCATATTCCTTCTTTTAACTATAGGATAAAAGATGAATAAAAGACCGGTGAACCCGTTTTGGTGTGGGAAGATACACAAGGTCGACCGCGAGAGAGAGATAGATGCCTGCTAATGAAGAAACTTTAAAGTTGAATGAGCTGCATGACCTTGGCCGCTCTTATTGATGCAGCCATCGATTCACACTCATGGAAAACCTCAATCTCTTGTCAAAAAGTGCGTCCTATACAGGCTTCAATCATGTAACCCATGACCAGTAAAACCGTGGCTTTCGCTCACCTAACTGTCTTTTAGCACAGTCGTGAGAACCGCCATCGCATCGGTCCTCAGCAGCCGAAAAATAAACATTCACTTATACTGAGGTTGAGTGACAAGAGCACAAATTCTGTGATGTATTAATCACATTTAGCTCTGCATAAATATAGGAAACAGGCAGACACTGGCTCATGAATATATTATGATTATTGGAAGTGAAGGTCTCACACTCTCACTGTTTTAATTCAAATAAAGCACTAACAAGTCATCTTACAGTCGCCATGCTCAGTGAGATTGTTTGATCCTAAAAACAGTTCATTTTACAGCCACGTCGTTTTTAAAAACCGTCGCTGCACAACCACAAAATACTAATATTGCATAGCCGCGGGCAAACACATTAACTACGTCTGATTTTGTTTGTGTGCTTTCAAATTAAATATTTATTGCTAAAGAAATGTCAGAAAAACATAAATAAAGACTGCGTGACCTCTGTGACCTCTGGTTTCCTCTCATTTACAGAAGGAAAGGACGTCAGGAAATGCTCCTGTCAATGTCCTGAGACACTGCGGTCCCAAAATCTGAGTTCGTCTTCCCACAAGGAATTAATAATTAAGCGTTAAGTCAAAGAAAAGAGACTTGCGTGCTCTCCTCACAAGGAATCTTCAATCTGGGCTGTGGTTCAACAGAATTACATATACTATGTCCTTTAAAGACCTGAGGGGTTTTCTCAGTCCATGCAGTGGGATGAGGCCACCCTGTCAACCCCTCCGCCTCGGGTTCACCTCCCTCTAAGCAGAGCACATAAACCAGATTTAGATTTAAAAAGAAGTTAAATCTTACCCCACAGTTAAGGACACACACCTGCCCCACTGACACACAAACTGTGGCAAAGCCAGTGAGCTGATTTTCTACATCGGTCAGAATCCCAGCAACACAAAGAACAGTTAAACCGCATTAGCGCTGAGGAGAAACATGAGCCACTGTGTACTGAATCCACAACAATATAAACAGCCACACATATCTGAACATTTATTTCAGCTTTTTGGAATATTTGTCAGCCAATATGATTGTGTATTAACTGAAATAACAGGTCAAAGTGCCTCCAGATGTTTTGTGATCTTTTACTGGATCACTGTATACACCTGTAGCACCGAAGAGCACACATTTGTCATTTTTTGTTTTTATTAAATGGGCCTTACTGGTTAGGATTTCCTGACGCACCGGTGTCAAACAAGGGATAAATGTCAAGTACTTTTCAGATGGAGACTTTTACTGCCAAAATAATTGTTTTGTTTGTGTTTTCTGTAGCTTTACACCCAACATAAAAGTAAGCTCTGGCAAACATTGGACAGTATTTAAAAAAAAAAAAAACACACCATGCATGCTTTGCAGCACTTCTGAGGAAAATAAAACAGCATGTTGCCACTCTATGGAGTTACAAATATATTGATTATTTCCAATAAAATATAAAAAAAAACCCTTAACTTTAGTCAAAAATGCTCTATTGCCTCACAACATATAAACCCAGTCTGCTACTTGGAGGCAAAAACAATCACTTTCTTCTCCAATCTCTGATCTACTCTTGTTATTATTAACAAGTGAACAGCTCCATGTGACCAGCGTGGCTTTGCTTGTTTTAATCCGCATTGAATCCTCTTCTGCTTCTACTAAGTGGAGCTTACAAACCGTCTTTTATTAAAAAAAAACAAAAAAAAATACTTTTAATCAAAACAATGAAAGTAAAAGTAAAGACTCCTGTATCTCCATGCCAACAGCTGGTGATCGCGTGGTGTGCACGCCCCGCCCTCACTGTTTGTAAACACTGGCTCACAATGACAGAAACGAATCACAGACAGCGACTTTATGTCCCCCCCCCGCCTTAAAAAAAGGTAGAAAATACACGAAATATTTACTTTAAAAAGGTGTTGCTTTAGAAAATAGTCAAACGATAAACCTGCCAGTCATCATCCGGACGTTTGTTCCCCGGTGCAGGAGCTGGAAAGCTAAGCTACAAGGCTGATAGGAGTCACCGGACTGCACAACAATGCCTGACAAATCTAATGCTTTATTCAGGAATACAACATTTTTTTGGGACGGGCAAACGCTGTGTTTTTTTGTGCATTTATTGCCCACTCAATCCAATGTGTTGGTCGCATACAGGCTGTGAGATGTAGTGTTTGCAGCGATGAATGACCCGACTGACAGAGAGCCGGTGGGGCTGCAGCTGTCATTTCGCCTTCTTTGTGCCAGCTCGCTGCTAAAACCCCCCCAAAAAAAAGGGCGAGTCTACAAACGTAGCTACAGTTTTAGCTCGTAGTTTAGCAAGTCACGGTGAGATGGTGTGCTGTAAAAACAAAACAAAAAAGAAGAAAAAAAAAA